TCTTCAAAAGATTTTTGAGTTTTACAAAGTCCCTATTCTAGGTGTTTGTCCTAAAGAAGCATCTTCTTATGCCTTTACAAAAGGGTATTTTGAAAGGAAAAATCTTGTTTTCAAAGATAATCTGTGGGCTTATAAGGGTGCATCTTCTAGTGAACTTAGGTCTAAGGCTGCACATGATCCTTCATCTATTCCACTCACTCCCATTCATCCTAGGAAATCTGCCTCTAAGGCATCTTCCTCTTCCAGTGATGAAGTAATTGAGCTCCTTCGTGAACTCAAACAACATGTTCTTCTTCTAGAACATGGTCTAATGCTCACTATGTCCTCTGAGCAACAAACTGCCTTCCTAGACAAAAAGAACCTCCTGTTTCCCCCCCTGTTGTTGAGGAAGTTTCCAATGACAAAGAGTCACACCCCACTGATCCAAGTTCATCAATTCCGGATCCTGGTTCTTCAACCCCTGTGACTCCTCATGGCACCTCTACATCAGATAAAGGCAAGGCACCAGTTGAAGAGGCTGCTGAAGATGATGAAGAAACTGAAGAGGAGGATCTTGATCAATATCAGCTCTCTCGGAGGACACCTGGATCCACTTAGTTCATCATTTAGGACATTTGCATTTTGTTTGTCTCTTTTATATTTTCGTGGTATTCAACAATGAATATGTAATGTAATGGATATTTTAAGTTTCGTTTTGGATGTTTAAGTACTGTTTTGATGGATGTCTGAATATTTTGATGAATGATTGTCTATTCTGCTTATGTGAATGTAATGAATTTGTGGATTGTCTATTCTGATTGATGGTCTAAGTTTTGATGTGTGAACTTGTCTAAATTTGTGAATTTGTGGATGTGTTGATGTGATTGGTTGCTCGTTTGTGATGACAAAAAGGGGGAGATGGTATCAAATGATTGGATTGAGTGATGATTGATAATTGGTGATGTTGGCATGATTGATGATTGGTGATGTTAGGATATGTTGGATTGATTGTTTAAATTTGGATTGGCTGATATGCTTAATTGTTTAACTCGGATGGGCAACCTTGTGAGGGGGAGTTTTTCAAAATTTTCAAATTTTGTGATTCACTAAGACAGGGGGAGTTCTTGTCTATTTTGAAAGGGGGAGTTTTCATTGCAATCATAAAATTTTATTTCAAACTTTTGTTTTGTCATCATCAAAAAGGGGGAGAATGTTATTCTTGGTTTTGATGATCACAAAAGTTCTTTGAAATGTCTATCTAACCTTCTTCAAATATAAGTGTTTTTGCCTATCAAAGAATCAGGTACTAAAATGTCATGAATTGCAAATCAACCAAAAAAATAAGCAAAAACAGGACACTCATGTCGGACGTCCGAAAGGAAACTGTCGGACGTCCGAAGGGATGAAGAACATCAGGAAGGAGTTTCTGTCGGACGCACATCGATCATGTCGGACGTCCTAAAAATTTCACAAAGTTTTGATGACTCTCTGCCAAGACTCTGTCGGACGCTCGCAAGGAATCATCGGACGTCTTAAAGGATCGGACGCATGCTTCGGACGAACATCGATATCATCGGACGTCCTAAAAATTCTTCGAAGATTTGATAACTCTCTGGACGACGTTCGGACACTGAAGCTCGGACGATAAAATTCCATCGGACGTCCGAACAACAACTTGACTGTTTTTCGGACGATGGGTTCGGACGATGAATACGCCATCGGACGTCCGAAAGCCCCAACGGCTAGCTGACCATTCATCTGCCTTCTATCCGTTGGAAGCTTTAATGAAGCCCATTTTTGTTCCTCTTTAAAAGCAAACTGTTCTGAACGAAGGAAGGACTTTTGCACACTTTGTTTACAAGATCTCAAGAGATATTTTAGCTAGAAAATAGTCTCCAAAGCAAGATTTGTTTTAAAGTGGTGTGAATTTCTGGTGAGCATTTCTTTTGTGACTGAAAGGATCTTTAGTGTAGCTTTGTTGAGGGTTTTTTTCTGAGTGATTGTAAAACTTCTTAGCTTGACTAAGTGAGGCTTAGGGCAAGGAAGAAGTGCTCCCTCCATTGTACATCTAGTTGATCTTCCTTCATCTAAGAGAAGTTGCTCTTCCTAGTGTGTGGTCTTCAAGTTTGAGGATAGCTTGGTAGACACTTGGTTTGATTCCCTAATTTACTTTTCTGTTTAATAAAATTCTCATTGCTTGTCTATACTTGTGTTTCTGATCAATATTGCTCTTGTTTTCTAATCTACTTGGTTGATCATTACTAGAAAAGAAGTTAAATTTTTATTAAAGAAAAAGTGCATAAATTTGGTTAAGATTTTAATCAACCCAATTCACCCCCCCTCTTGGTTGTCTTTGGGACTTACAACCCACAATCGACTTTTGTTTGTTAGTGTATATGTTTGAGAATAGAAGATGAATCGAATACTCATTGATGGGAGATCTGCTATCAATATTATGTCTGTACGTGGTATGAAAGAACTAGGAATCTCAAGCAAGGAACTCTCCCAGAGTCGCCTCATGATCCAAGGATTTAACCAAGGGGGACAAAGAGCAATTGGTCTCATAAGACTTGAATTGCTCATTGGTGAGTTGTCTTCAAGTGCGTTATTTCATATCATTGAAGCCAAAACCTCTTATAATATGCTCTTGGGCCGACCCTGGATTCACGAGAACGAATTTATACCGTCTACTCTGCATCAATGTTTCAAATATTGTCGAGACGGTATAGTTAAGAAGGTTGTTGCCGATGATAAACCTTTCACTGAGGCCGAGGCTCACTTTACCGACGCCAAATTTTAGCTTCAGAAAGAAGCATAAAGAAAAGAATCAGTAAAGAAAGAAAGTCAAGATTTCGAAGTACCCATTTTGCGGTATATTCCAAGATCAAAGAGAGAAGAAAGTCAGTCTTCTTTTATCAGGAATGATACATTAAATGTTCCGCTCACCAAAATAGAGCCTGTTAGAAGTGAGAAAGCGAGTTTGCAAGAATTTGTTCGTCCCAAAAAAGAACCGGCAGTAGAACATTACTCACTACCAACTAATCGGACTCAAGAAGGTTTTGATCCAAATGCATATAGACTTCTTGTTAAGACCAGTTATAACCTAAATGAGAAGCATGCATTGGACAAACTCCCTCCTGAGGTGACTGGCGAGAAGACTCGTGGATTAACACCTACACAGAAAATGTTAAAAGAAAAAGGCTATAATGTTGAAAGTTCATCGATGGGTCTTGGTTATCAACCGCCTTCTCCAGTACGTATAATGATCAAAAGGGCAAGGTATAACTACGTGAACGAAGAAATGGAGGTCACAAGCCAAAAGCGATTTGTGTTCGATAGGTTGGGAAATAAGTCAAAGCGTACTTCCGTGTTTGACAGACTTGGCCCGCAGCCAAAAAATTTGAAACTGCCCATCTATGAAAGATTAGGCAGTAAAAAACAAGAGTACTAAGTTGTCAAGGAAGAAAGTTTTACTCCAATAAAGAAGAACGGACCAAGAAAGCGAGTCTCCAATTTCTTCATGCACTATAAAGACTTATTCAAAGTAAGAATTCAAGCCATTTTTTAAAAATAGGGTCAATAAAGTATGGCTTTCTGTCATCATATTACGATCAGTGATCTCGAAGAAGAAGAACAAGATGCAGATGACGCTCCCCCGGAACTTGAACAAGGGGTAAAAATACAGACGATGTGCTAAAGGAGATTAACCTTGGCACAAGCGATGATCCTCGCCCAATTTACATAAACTCTTGTATGACTCCTGAAGAAAAGAAAGAGTATGTTGATTTGCTGCTCGAATTCAGGGACGCCTTTGTCTAGAATTACTCAGAAATTCCTGATTTGGATCCAAGAATCGACGTTCATAATTTGTCTGTCAAGAGAGGAATAAAACCTGTCAAGTAAACTCAAAGGCGCTTTCGGCCCGAATTGATTCCTCTGATAGAAAATGAAATAAATAGATTGATTGAAACTGGGTTCATACGGGAAGTGAAATATGCAACATGGATTTCAAACATTGTCCCTGTGAGGAAGAAGAATCGGCAAATCCGAATTTGTGTGGATTTTCGAGACTTAAATGAGGCTTGCCCCAAAAATGATTTTCCACTCCGCATTACAAAATTGACGGTAGATGCTACAACCGGCCATGAAGCACTATCTTTTCTCGATGAATCGTCTGGCTACAATCAAATACGCATGGCACCCGAGAATGAGGAGCTCACTGACTTCCGCACCCCCAAGAGAATTTATTGCTATAAAGTAATGCCGTTTGGCTTGAAAAATGTTGGAGCGACATATCAAAGGGCAATGCAAAGAATTTTTGACAATATGCTCCATAGAAATGTGGAGTGCTATGTTGATGACCTTATGGTAAAATCAAAGAAGCGAGAGGATCATATTCAAGACTTTCGAAGAGTTTTCCAACACCTTCGGAGATACCAACTGAAAATGAATCCTTTGAAGTGCGCATTCGGAGTCACTTCTGGCAAGTTTCTCGGTTTTATCGTTCATCAACAGGGAATAGAGGTCGATCGATCTAAAATTGATGCCATTATGAACATGCCTGAACCGCAAAATATTCATTAATTAAAGAGCCTTCAAGGGAAGTTGGCTTATATCCGAAGGTTTATCTCTAATTTGGCCGGACGATGCCAACCCTTCAGTCGATTGATGAAGAAAGGGTGCCCTTCGAGTAGGATGAATCGTGTAGGAATGCTTTTACAAGCATCAAAATGTACCTCATGAATCCACCAGTGTTGGCTACGCCCATCTCAGGAAAACCATTGATTCTCTATGTTTCTACTTAAGAACTGTCGGTTGGAGCCTTACTTGCTCAAGAAAATGATGAAGGTAAGGAGAATGCGCTGTATTACTTGAGTCGGATGATGACATCTAACGAGTTGAATTACTCACCCATCGAGAAATTGTGTTTGGCACTTGTATTTGTCATTCAGAAGTTGAAACATTATTTTCAAGCACACACTATTCGACTCATATCTAAATCTAATCACATTAAATATGTCATGGCAAAACCTGTATTGTCTGATCGACTCGTGAGATGGTACCTCCAGTTTCAACAATTTGAAATTATTTATGTACCTGCGAAGGCTGTCAAAGGACAAATATTGGTAGACTTTTTAGCCGATCATCCCATACCTGCCGAGTGGGAGTTGACTGATGAACTCCCCGATGAAAAAGTGTTTATAGTCGAATCCCCGTGGTCGATGTATTTCGATGGAGCCGCGCACCGTGACGGAGCTGGTGCAGGAGTTATCTTTTATACTCCTGAATCAGATATATTGCCATACTCTTTCACTTTAACACGTCGGTGTTCAAACAATGTGGCCGAATATCAGGCATTGATTCTCGGTCTGGAAACGGCCGTAGACATGAAGCAGTTGCATCTTAGGGTCTATGGTGATTCCAAATTAGTGGTAAATCAATTTCTTGGTATTTATGATGTCAAGAAGCCTGAATTGATCCCATATTATAAGTATGCAAGACAACTCATGGGATATTTAGATAATGTCACTATAGAACATATCTCTAGGAAGTTCAACCAACAAGCCGACTTTTTGGCAAGGTTGGTGTCCATGATCACTCTACCTTCTCATCGAAATCAAATTTCAATATGTCAAAGTTAGGTCATACCTCCAATGTTTGATGAAGAAGATGGTGGTGAGGAAGAAAATATTTATCATATTTTTGTCCATGAGATCGAAAATGAGGATTGGCGTCACCTCATCATTGATTACCTTAATCATGGAAAGTTATCAGAAGATCCTAAGAAAAGGATTGATATACGTCGTCGAGCGCCACGTTTCATTACTACAAAGGGACGCTTTACCGAAAATCATTCGATGGGGTATTTCTGCGATATCTTGGAGAAGATGAAGCTATGCAAGCAATGGAGGAGGCTCACTCTGCGGTATGTGGTGCTCAACAATCTGGCCCAAAATTACACTTTCGCATTAAGAGAATGGGATACTACTGGCCAACGATGGTAAGAAACTGTATCGATTTTGCTAGAAGATGTCAAGCTTGTCAATTTCATGGCAATTTCGTCCGTCAACCTCCTGAACCATTGCATCCAACCGTAGCTTCTTGGTCGTTCGATGCTTGGGATTTGGATATAGTTGGACCGTTCCTAAAATCTTCTGGATGACACATTTTCATTTTGGTGGTAACGGATTATTTCTCAAAGTGGGCCGAAGCGGTTCCTCTAAGAGAGGTCAAAAAGGAGAATGTAGTAAATTTCATTCGCTCGCACATCATTTATCGATATGGGGTCCCGCATTATATCATCACCGATAATGGTAAGCCTTTTTGCAATGTAGCAATGAACAAACTTTGCGAAAAGTTTCATTTCAAACAATACAATTCGTCCATGTACTACGCTGTCGCAAATGGACTCGCTGAAGCATTCAACAAGACCTTATGTAATCTGTTGAAGAAAATCGTGGATAAATCGAAAAGGGATTGACATTTTCGAATTGGAGAAGCACTTTGGGCATACCGAACTACTTTTCGAACTCCCACGCAAGCGACTCCATACGCGCTTGTTTACGGTGTTGAAACTATTATTCCACTTGAGTGTCAAATACCTTCGCTAAGAATTGTGATTCAAGAAGGACTCAGTGAAGAGGATAATGTTCGTCTTCGTCTTGAAGAGTTAGAAGCACTCGACGAAAAGAGATTAAAAACTCAACAACGAATTGAGTGCTATCAAACCCGCCTTTCAAAAGCATTCAATTAGCATATCCGGCCACGCTCTTTCCAGATTGGAGAGTTAGTACTCGCTGTTCGAAAACCGATCATTTTCACTCATGACGGACAAAGAAAGTTTACTCCTAAGTGGGATGGTCCATATGTTGTTCAAGAAATGTATACAAATGGCTCATATAAGTTGGTTGCTGAGGATGGATTAAGGGTTGGCCCTATCAATGGCAAGTACCAAAAAAGGTACTATGCGTAATCGGAACCGCGTGATGCTCCTGACCCACATGAACTAAAACTGTGGATGACAACCACCAATAGTGTAGTATGTGATTAAACTGCTGGAATACTCCACCAAGTCTAAGGTGGTGAACAAATAGATGCCCCTGGCCCGCAAGAGTTAAAACTGTGGATGGCAATCACCAATAGTGTAGTATGTGATTAAACTGCTGAAACACTCCACCAAGACTAAGGTGGTAAACAAATAGATACTCCTGACCCGCATGAGATTAAAATGTGAACGGCAGGAACTACGTATGACTTGATTCTCTTGTTGGGATACGTAGGCAACTTGGAGGGCAATTTCTCAGTTCAGTTACACCTTCTAAACCAAACCCTCTTTCTTTGCAAAAAAAAAAATCGTCTCTTTTTCTTTGAAATAAAATACTAAATTTAAAAATTATTTTCTCTTAGAAAAAAATATATGTATAATAAAAGATAAGAAATGAAAAGCATTTTATTATTCATAAAAAAAATTCATTACATGAAAAAAAAGAGAAAAAAAGAAAGGAAAAAAATTCAGAAAAAAAAAATATGGTGAAAAGTCTAAATGTCAAATTTGTAATCCACTACAGCTATTTTGCATGATTCAAGTGCAGATTTCATGTCTTCAAATTCTTTCACTGCGTCATCAGTCAAGATGCTGGTACTTTCAATAGAAGAGAGCTCATCATGTGTCCGGGTTATTTCAGTTTGGATCTCTTTGAAACTTTCATGCTTTTGATTGATAGTTGAGCTGATTTCCAGACATTGTTTCTCCAAATCAATAAGTTCCTGTTGCAGAGCCTTCTTCCTGTCCTCAATAGACTGTAACTTTTCTTCAAGACTTTGCAGATGGCGAGTTAGTTCTTCTTCATTTACCTTAGCTCTCCCGAATTGGGCGGTCACTTTGGAAAGGAGTTCTGCATGTGTTTCTTTATTCATCTTTTCCTATGACGAAGATGACAAAATATCATATGCCTCCGTCTTGGCAAACAATTCTATCAAGAAGTCCTTTAAAGGGAGACCATTGGTAGGATCCGTTTTTGTGATTTCCGCAATGATTTCCTCTGCGCACTCTTTTAAAGAAGAGATCTGCTCAATATGAGTGTCAAGAATCTGTCCGCGAAAATCCATCCACAAACTCTGCAAGTATTTTCTTCGATGCGTCTGGATCAACTTTTGGCCATGAAACTCTGAAACCAATGCTACCTTAGGTCTTTTCCGGATTTTGTGCGAACTAGTCAACCCCTTCTTATGCATTAACGAGGTACCTCCACTGGGGGCAAGTTGTTTTGGAATGCTGATAACGACTTCGTCACCTTTCTTGTTTGAAATTATGGCATCAGTTTCAAGTTCAATTGGTGAGTTGGTACCAACATCTTCTTGACGGAATTCAAGAAACGGGGGCTGAAAAGGAAAAAAGTTACAAAAAAATTGTTACAAAAAAAAAGAAAAAAATATAGCGAGATGATTACCTTAAGTGGCGACACTTCAACTGACGGTGGTGTAAAGAAAACCTCCTCCAAATCAGAAAATGTCCTCTTCTTTGATCGGTTCCAGTGACGGTCTTGACTACTCCTTGACTACCGCTCGCCAACGAATGGGCTCCTCCTTGGGTAGATCCAATACCCTGAATTTGAGTCCCTTCCTTTTCTATAGTCTCGATAGAATCACGATCATCTACCATTTCAATTTTGACATCTTCCTCTGTGCGAGTCACCGATAAGGATTTTGAAACTTTGGGCGGCGTCTTCTGTGCTGGAATCACTAGTTGCGCCTCTTTGATGGCCTGTCGAGAGTCCTTGGAAGACTTATTTTTTGTGACAATATTTTTCGAGAGACTGCTAATAATTTCGTTTTTCCGCAAGGTGGATGAGGTAAAACCCGTTACAATCTCGATAGTTCCATTATGATGCACTGACTCGTTGTCGGAGGTAATCTTACCCTTCGTCGATGATTGCTGAGGGATTTTAACGGTGAATTTAAAGGAAGTTGAAGAGACACTATTTGACCGAGTCGACCACCAGGCGTCATAGTCTTTTGTGATCAAAGGATGCTTCCTGTGCGTGGGTATCGTCATCTGGGATCGCGTCTGCGTGCGAACTGAGGAATCCCATAGTTGAATAGTCTCACCCAAATTATAAGTATGAGTGATCTCTTTCAAGTTGTTGGGAATATCCTGACAGAAGCCGAATTGCCTGCTAAACCTGCAAGGAATATATTTTTCAATAATGAAAGTATTGTCCTTACGTAGAGTTAAATGGCAAGAGCGTTGACTAATGAAATAGCTCGTAAGTCTTGATGATAAGGATCCATCGTCAATCAACACCTTTTCTTCATTCTCAGTCCAACATAATTTGGGAAGCATCAAAGGATTCACTTATTTGAAAATTTCCTCAGTTTCTGATCGGCCATAAAATATTGCTATTTTCTCACCACTAAATCTTGTCATACGTGCGTGGTGGCTGCTCACTTGATTATTTTCATAATATACATCGAAGTATTGGCCAATCCAAGCATAGACGTAATGGATTGGAAAAGTTACCCCACATTCTCCAAGATTAGGGGCATGGACGATATCCCTCAACCCATGATATATGCTCGCGAGAGCGGGAATTGCAAGGCAAAATCTTTTTCCTATGACCATTAAGCATGCAACCTTGAAAACACTGGGCGAATACGATCGATCTTTTTGCTTGGCAAAAGGAACTTGCAAATTTAACACGCTATGAATGCCGCAATATAGATTTCCTTTCTTAAAGACCCTGGAATATCCAGTGTGTGGAAAGGAACGTTGAAGTCCTTCGTATCAGCAAGGTCGTGAGGCTCTACGCTTCCAGAAAGGTTGCAAGTCATTTTTGGTTTAGATGTGATTTTTCTTCTATTCGCCCTGCTTGGAGGAGCCCTATACCTAACCTTTCCTTTGAACCAGAAGCGAATCCAATCTTTCATCCATACCCCTTGGTCATTCGTCCAAAGGTGGTAGTAAGTGGAAAAGAGATGCCTGCAACTCTCAGGGAGAAGTGGCTTCCCTTCTTTGTCACGAGTGAGAAGCTCCTGCGCCGAAGGAACAATTTCGTCAAAGAACGAGCCATCGATCGAAAGGCCACCAAGTCGATAAAGGTCCCAAAGTGTGATGGACAACTCCCCAATGGGCGTATGAAGTGTATTTGTCGAGGGACACCAATATCTGAAGATGGCTTGCAAGATATTTTCACAGTGGTCGTAGGACTATCTCGACGCGTAGACAGCTTCAAATATGCCGCCACGTGTGAGCACTTCCTTATGTTTTCCAAGAATGTCCTCAACCCACTCCCAATAATGAGAATTGAAGCACGCCTCGCCAAAGAAGGAAGAGGGAATCTTCCATGTAGCTTTGTCAATATTGAATCCCACGAACGGAAGCGTGAATTTAGCTATTTCTGGATCTCCATTATGAAGAGACGAGTTCAATATGACCACTTCTTCTTCCCTCGACGTAGTGGAGAAAGCCGACGGTGCCACGACTTCTTTGGTCCACTTGTTAGTCCAATCCTCAAGATGAAAGCATCCTTCAAGAGGTATAAAAGATTCAGCGAACATGCCGATTGTTGGTTTATAAACATGTAGTGACAAACTCTTTGATTGAGGTCCTCCCCGTTCATCCGTCAATGAAATATGTGGCAATGGCGTGGCGAATCCTTAATTTGTATGATTGCTGAAATTTTGTAAAAGAAAGTATTAGACGATGAAGGAAGCTTCTTGCAAAATTTTGGTAGTTAAATTACCTAATTGGTTGCTTTTTCTCAAGTTCCCGGAATTGTTTCGAACCCCTCTTCAAGCACAGCTTTGGTTATCTATAAGGAAGCAAGTTGACAAAGTTTAGATCGAAATCACGTATGACAGGAATATTTGGGACGCAAAAAAAAAAAGATAAGGGTACGAAAATTGAGATTAAATTTTCAACCCTGGGGGATAGCTCAAATATCATGCTTGGCATTATTTTAGTAGATAAATCAAAGGGCCAAGTTGTCTTGTAATATGTTGAGGA